CACAGAAAGACTAACATCAGGTACTGGGGTCCTAGTCTGCCCCTCATAGAAAGACAAACATCAGGTTCTGGGGTCCTAGTCTGCCCCTCACAGAAAGACTAACATCAGGTTCTGGGGTCCTAGTCTGCCCCTCACAGAAAGACAAACATCGGGTACTGGGGTCCTAGTCTGCCCCTCATAGAAAGACTAACATCAGGTTCTGGGGTCCTAGTCTGCCCCTCACAGAAAGACAAACATCAGGTACTGGGGACCTAGTCTGCCCCTCACAGAAAGACAAACATCAGGTACTGGGGACCTAGTCTGCCCCTCACAGAAAGACTAACATCGGGTACTGGGGACCTAGTCTGCCCCTCACAGAAAGACGAACATCAGGTACTGGGGACCTAGTCTTCCCCTCATGGGAAGACCTCATCTAGGTTCTGGGGTCCTAGTCTGCCCATCAAAGAGTGAGTGAGTGAGTGAGTGAGTGAGTGAGTGAGTGAGTGAGTTTAGTTTTACGCCGCTTTTAGCAATATTCCAGCAATATCACGGCGGGGGACACCAGAAATGGGCTTCACACATTGTACCCATGTCGGGATTTGAACCCGGATCTTCGGAGTGACGAGCGAACGCTTTAACCACTAGGCTACCCGACCGCCCCCTCACAGAAAGACAAACATCGGGTACTGGGGACCTAGTCTGCCCCTCACAGAAAGACAAACATCGGGTACTGGGGACCTAGTCTGCCCTTCACAGGAAGAGGTAGTGCACAAGTCAGGTGGGTTACTCTGTTCCCAACAGATTGCTTCACATATTGTTGAAATGAACACAGCTGAACATAGTGTGAGAAATGTATTAACCACTAAGCTACCCTCCACCCACAGAAATACAATGTCAGATCCTTGTGACCTACCCAGCTCTTAAACTCCAAAGTTTGACAAGTTTGTGGAAAGCAGTGTGTGAAATAATTTTTCAACAGTACCAGATAATATTTTACAAGACAATTACAGAAGCCATATTTTCTTTTACACTATGAAGAAGTTTATTTTGGACACTGGTGTGTACATAAGCTTCTCTTGAATCTGCACAGGAAGACAAACAATGCAGGCAAGAGAAGACATACTGTTAATCAGAATCCACCAAAGGAATTTTGCAAATTCAAGTTCAACAAGAGCACCAACAGTTATTTCACCATCTCCACCATACAACCCTGACACATACAACAACATGGAAAATATAAGATCCTAAGGCAAACACAAACTTAGACATCCGCTGGTGCAATGAGGAATAGGTTGTGTTAAGGCGTCACAGGAAGCCATCCCATCAAAAGAATCAGTAATGAGCTGGTAGACAGGACCTGGGATTTTCGCCATTGTGGCAGTGAAACAACATATTGAACAGCAATTTTCTTAAGGAAGGGACGATTGAGGCTCATTGGCAGGAAAGGTCAAAAACTTAATTTTGCAGGAGAATTAAATATTGATGTTTCTTAACAGAGGATGAGGCCATCTAACAAAACAATGATCCTGGATGTGATTTGTGCCATGGACAGCAATATGAAACCTAGCTAGCTGGGCCATCCTCTTGTAATTACTTGGATCACAAACGTTGTGAGGAGGCAATATGTAACATGATCGGCAGCAGCAGTTAACAAGCGTTCACATAAATATAACTTAATTTATTACTCGCCTGTAAGGAGATCACTCGTGTAATAAACATACAGCCATATTACACATTGTGTAATACTAGAGCACATGGTAATGTCCTGCGGGAACAAGTTTCACTAACAAATATTGAAAACTCTCAACATCCGTGGACTTATTTAATGACATTGAGGGTAGAGATGATTGATCAATGAGAGGAGCTCAATGACCCCGGCAACCCCATGTTGCTTGGCTGACGTCACATTGCATTGTTTTGCTGGTGGATCTTGAAACAAAATTCAACAAATTACATCAGGGGTATTGTGACGTGATTGTAAAGTCTGTGGTGCAGGGCCCTGTTCCACATGACGATCATAGCGCAACGACAGTCGTACATCTATGTATATGGGAGTTAAGGCTAACCTACAATAGCTCTTGTGCAGCAGACCCCTGAATTCTAAATGTAGGCCTTTGTATGGTATTAAATTAATTCGTGTCAATTTCAAACGGGTTTGAAGTATTATTCTGTTAAACACAATTGGATTATGCTGTGGATCGCATAGATGTCCGCCTATTCACACATGAAGGTGAAATTTAAAAAAAGTTATAAACAGCAACTATTCATGAGTTTTTTTATAAAAAACTTACACGCTGCCAAGTTATACAAATTTTATAAAACTCATGAATAGTTCTGATATCTGACAAGCAATGGGAACTATTCATGAGTTTCATAAAAATGGTATTACACAAGAGCAAGTTTAGTATTTTATCTATTACTTGTTTATTAGTTGTCTTTGAATTTTATATATATATGGGTGGGAGAGAAGAAATTAGTATCACGGATTAGGAATAGATAAAGATGGATTTTTGTGTGCATATATCGGAGAATAATACCATAAAAATATTGCATAAAATCGTGTATGCTAAATCTGTGACTGTTATCTTAAATATATGCATGAAAGATACAAAGTTAATTGTCCTTTTGTGTGTTTTGTTAAAGAATGCATCGAACAAGAGTGAGTGAGTGAGTTGGATTTAACGCCGCTTTTAACAGTATTCCAGTTACATCACAGTGTGTCAGCTTAATGTGGGAGGAAAGCCCGAAGTGATGCAGGTCTCAGACGTTTACCACATCGGTGAAACCCACGAGCACGGGTATGGTGCTGACAAACCTAGAAACATAATCGGTGCAAACCTGGATTCGAACCCACAATCATAGGTTTCTGGCGTGCCCAAGGGACGCAACTCTGCACAGCGAATCGCGGCGGCTTAGACGACTGGGTCACCGGTGTCCCCCATCGAACAAGAGTTGGAGTGAGGTGCATGAGTGGTGCAGGGCTATACGTTGTACACTATCAGTCTACGCACTGTCGCACGTACCTGTTACTTCCTACTGCAACCTCTCAATGGACGACCATATGCAAGTTTTCAAATTTGTTTGTAAACAAATGTCTGCATTCCACAGCAGAGTTACTTTGGCACTTGTTTTACCAGGTGCTGATAATTGAGTGAGTGAGTATGGTTTTACGCCGCTTTTAGCAATATTCCAGGAATATCATGGCGGGGGACACCAGAAAAGGGCTTCACACATTGTACCCATGTCGAGGTGCTAATAATTACTTTAATAACCTTATTTTACTGTGTTAAAAGTAAATTATATCAAAGGTAAACAAAAATGGTGGAAATCATTCTATGTTCAGCATGAAACATGTTTTGGCTCTATTACTCAAGCCTCCAAATGCCATCAGCTCCTCCCAGTGGTCTATCATCTCTACACGCAATGTCATTGAATAAGCCCAGTGATGTTGAGAGTTTTCAATATTTGTTCACAAAATAAAGTCTGTGACAGTGCATTTTATAACAAGCACCAGTTCATGAAAGCATTTTTATTTTCAAGATATTTTTCGTTTTTGTTTTCATGAGGCTAAATGGACGATATATGGGAACGAATATTTATTATATTTTCAACTGAAAAGTTTTATGATTTTGCCCAGAAATGTTGTCATTAGGTTTTATTTATTGAAGCTCCCCACATCCAAAGGTTGCTGGTCCCAGCACAATATATCTACCATGGGACATCTCTTGCAATGAATGAGTTAGGCTTGTAATGACACAGATCGATATTTTACAGCCAAAGTATTGAAGCAAGGTAATAAATGCACTTATCAAGGTATTCTTGACCCTTTCATCATGTTTATAGTTTTCAAATTTTCTGCTGCCATTCTTCTTCACACAGAAACGTTAAGAAAGCAGGATGAAGTGGCTTGGTGTAAAATATACTGGCTAAAAAAATTGTCATGATACTTCAACTCACATCGCTTGATCACAAATCACTGGATTTTCTAGTCCAGACTCGACTATTTACAGACCACCATCATATGGCTGGAATATTGATGAGTGCGGCGTTAAACAACAAACGAACAAAACAGACAAAACACTTGCTCTGTTTGATCCCCCTCGGCCTCACTAGCCATGCCTTCCTTGTTCCCTACTATGATCTCTCCTGTACTTTTCTGTCACAAAATCATCCAACTGTATACCCTGTCATTCATGTAAACTTACAGATTGTGCCATATCGGCTCTCCATTACCACTCAGGATCTTGTTGATGATTGGATGGGATAAGTGTGCCAAATGGAATTGTGACCACTCATAAGTGTCTGCAGACTCATGGCTATCCGTAACCATACCACTTCGTCCCTTTTGGTTCATTTCCTTAACTTTTCAGGCATGACTAGGTAAATTTTCAATCAGTTTAAAAGTGTGGATGTTGGTCAGCAGGATGTCAGTCGATCAGCTTGTTGGGTTAACAATCTGAAGTTTGTGAGTCTTGCCACAAGATGTTGCAGTGAAAACAAACCTAAGTGGCCAAACTAAGTTGGATATATCCATGTAAAATCAATTACTTTCTGCAAGTGTGCAGAATGTCCTTTTCACTTACTCATCCTATTTGCATGTTGGTATATATACAGCCACCGCATATAGCAACAAGCTGCAATACAATAGTGACAATGTTCATCTCTAATGTGAGCGAACACCAGAGTATGACACTTTTAGTTGTAGGAAGATATTTCCCCATCCACTCATCCACACTCTCATAGAGATTCCAATTCACCAGCCAGGCTGACAGCCTCATGACAATCACAAGACACATGGAAGTTATAGAAGAATCTAGAATTTTCAAAGTAATCCCAAATGAAATGTATCACAGAATCTTTTAATTACACCAACTTTCAAATGAGAAAAAGCTTTCAAACAGGAACCATTTTTTTCTTTCAACAGACTTTATACTTTTGAGAAGGTATTTGTAGCCACTTTGAATTACAATTGGATGCCTACCCCCTTGTCCTTAAAGCAGTAGCCATGGAAAGTAACATACCTTCCTCATCGCCATCTTCCTGTACACCAGGTGTCAGCTCCTGCATGCTGCCATCATGTCTTGTAGCTGTTCTCGGTGCCTTCTGCTGAGACTTACTGTGCTGTTGGGATGCCTTCAGCGGCTGTGACGTCTGCTGTGACTGTGGTTGCTGCTGTTGCTCCTTCAGTATCTGTTTCTTCCTCATCTCCAACATCTCCCTCAACTCAGCCAGCTCATCCTGGAAGTCCAGCTTCTTCCTCTCCTTGGGCCGCTTCCCCTCATGTGCCTGTTTACTGCGCCCTGCTGCATCCACATTTTCAGATGGCCAGTCCCCCTCTGTGGCCTTCAAGTTTTCTTGTGGTTGTCCATTCTGTTTGTCAGTCCAGTTATGTCCCTTTGCATCACTGCCAAAGCTGTCATTGCTCTCACCTTCTGTGACGTCTGCTACTTCAAACACTGTAGGAGATGATCCTTTGGAGGACACCAGACTACCGTCTGTATTGACACTGTGAGATTTCTTCTTCTTCTTCTTTTTCTTTCCTACAAATAGTTATTTTGAATAAAGCTTTCATAGAAATATTGCTCAAACTGTATTGAGGGAGGATATGTACATTTTGCAAACGAGCACAAACTATTACAGTACATTCATTGAAATACTTGCCATAAACAATAACTCACTTATAGCATTTGTGACCATTCATTTCATTCCAGGACAAGCCAAATGGTGACTCATGTACCTCTCTCATTGCCATCAACATGGTTCTGCCTTCATGCAAATGGATGCAGCAAAAAGAAATTATAGCTAAACTTATTAATAATAAGTTTAAATGAATATTTCCAAGTATAACATGGTAGCCACTTAATGTTCAGTGTCATGGAACCATTGAGGCATTCACATTGGCATTTTCCTCGATGCAAACTAATAAAAAAAAGACAGTGCAATAACACTGTAGCTCAACCCGGTATGATATATGTAGTCAAACATCAACAAAGACAGTCACTTAACAAAAGGGGCTGTTAGCACTGATATTCAAATGTTGTCTTCGTAAATACCAAGGACTAAAAACTACCACCAAAAATCTAACTGCTGGAACAATACATGATATCATTAAGCTCAGAGCGTATCTATGATGGATTTATCGTACATCCCTAACAGTTTGCATGTATTAGAAATCATCACAAATCTGCAGGCATCAAAGTGACAAGGCGTTCTCTATTGATAAAAATGGACAAAATTCGCTACCACACCACCATCAAGTATCTCCAACTGAACTCCAACGGCTATCTATGCAGAACCTTCCTGAATAGAAATGCTCCAGGTTCACCAGCTCCAGTGAGAAAATCCATCATTTTGAAGCAGACCCAGCTGATTTTGTTAGTGATATGGAACCATGGATGGATCCTGTGTAAACCACTTTAAGCCTGATACAAAACAACAGTCAAAAGAACGGAAACATCTGACGTCTCCTCTTCCAAAGGTAAAAGTCATCAGCTGGCAAGGAGACAGTTTTCTGGGATTCCAAAGGAATTCCACTGGATGACCTCCGGAAAGGTCAGACCATTAATGACCAATATTAAGCTAATATACTGAGGTAACTGTTTGCGAATATCAATATACCAGTACTTAATGACATCACTTTCTGTTTAGTGACTTTACTTTCTGCTCGGGAAAACATGTGTCATGCAAGATAACTTTAAAACAGAAAATCCACTGCTGCTAAAAACATTACCCCTTGTGGTAATAAGAAAGTTAAATGCATTTCCTGTTTAAGTGTCTTTACGCTCATTTCAGTCAATCACATACTTGATTATTTCTAGTTGATAACATGGGTATAAGCTCTTACAAAGATGTCAACTAAACAGGGGCTGGTAATAAAGCCGAACTCCCTCACAAATAACCATTTCAGTGACCATCAATGAAGGTCACTCAAAACCTTATCTCTTCAGTGCCTCACCCTAAGATGATATGTATCAAGTTTCATGCTACTCCAAGAAACACTTCTTGAGTAAACATGCAACATTCTTGAGTGAATTTGACCTTCAATATCAGTTGGAAGTATTTCAAGAACATTCTAACATTCTGTGATTGAGACCCCACCTTAAAGATCATGAATACTGTTTCATCAAATTTCAATCATCAATAAAATTTTCTTGTTTGACACCCTCATACCCTGAGTGATCTTAACCTTCAAGGTCACCCATTCACATTTCCATTTTTTTTATCCCCCGCCATAAAGATGGGGGAAGTTTGTCCGTCTATCCGTTCTCAAAGGGAACAATTTTTTATCTTTTCATAAACTTTTTCAGTTGGAAAAATTAAATTTTACACTCTGATGTTACTGGTCATGATCTAAAGTGAGGTTGAAAACTGGAGTCCTAAATTCTTTTTTTACAGGGTTATGGCCCTTGCTTCGTGCTTTTCAACTTAGTGCATCCTGCATGAAATGGGGACAAGTTTTCTCAGAAACTATTGGAGTTCCATGAATGAAAGTTTGTAAGCATATTTAACATACTTGTCAAGAATTAGAAAATTGGTAATGTAATTTATTTTTTTACAGAGTTACGGCCCTTGATCCATGTTAATTTACTTGGTGCATAGTGTCTGCAATCAAACTACTGAAGTAAATTCATCTCAGAGATACCTTCCAAGACTGAGTTATTTTTTTCCAGAGAAGGGACCTTTTGTGTGTATTAAGTTCATATTTAATCATTATATCTGTATAAATATGCAGTCTCCATTTCAAACTGCCAATACTTTCTGAATGACTATTTCTCCAATGAAACTATTTACAAGTAATTTCACAAGTGAATGACCATCACACTGACCTTGACATTTGATATAGTCATGACCCATGACATGTATTGAGTTAATTATTTAGAGTCAACAAAGAGTGATAGGAAGATTTTAGTTTCCTGTTGAATTAATCCGAAGTTTTGTGAAATTTGAACCAATATTTCATAATTTGACCTCTAGTGACCTTGACCTTATATGGAGAAAACCCAAAGTCGATTTGACTCAGACCCTGTCTTCGAGTTCATGAATAAAAAGTTTCATCATATTCCATTAATAAATACTCAAGTAACTGTGTATACAATGCTTTTTTCTGCCTTTATACTGAGTGACCTTGACCTTCAAGGCCATCCAATCAAACGACACATATATATTTGATGTTATGAGACTAAAACAGGCACAGTCTAATTCTTTTTAGATGAAGACATCTGATAACTTTCAGAATGATTTCCATAGGTTTTGCTTATTCTCTAACTTAACTAGATCCTGTTGGCCAAGGCCCTCATCATACCTCTTCCTTTGTGATCTTTTTCAATGTGAATTGCAACAGCCTAATGTAATTTCTGACATGTCGGAGAAGACCTCCAAATTGTATTATCATAAAAGAAAAGAAAGTCCTGGTAATCTTGTAGAATGTTCAATTTGATGCCTTGAAGAAACATAAGAGGGAACACACACCAAAGGTTTCAACTCAAATTATCAAGCCTTTTTTGAGATGAGGCAAAAGATTAAAAATGCTTTGACTGCTGTTGCCGACAATTAATGGACGACATAAGGTCAGCCAAGTGAGGTGAGTTAAACAATTGCTTCACAGTCAACAAGTTTGAAAACTAATGTGTAGGCAGGCCGTTCAGGAGTTAAATGTCAAGAATTTCCCCATTATAAAAAGAGGCATAAAAAGTTTCATGTTGGATGCAAGAGCTGTGTATTCACTGGCATTGTATTGCAATGTGTTGTGACACTTAAGTCTGTATTTTGATATGTGAGTGAGTGAGTTGGATTTAATGCCGCTTTTAACAGTATTCCAGTCATATCGCGGCATGTCAGCTTAATGTGGGAGGAAGGCCTGAAATGATGCAGGTCTCAGACGTTTACCACTTCGGTGAAACCCAGAAGCACAGGTATGGTGCTGACAAACCTAGAAACATAAACCAGGATTCGAACCCACAATCATAAGTTACTGGCGTGTCCAAGGGACGCAACTCTGCAAAGTGAATTGCGGTGCCTTAGACGACTGGGCCACCCGTGCCCCCCTGTTTGGATATGTATTGCAATTCATCATATAATGGGTAGGTTAGAAAAGAAAATCTTGGTAGGATAGAGCCAACAGACATAAAACAGATCATATATGAATAAATATTAAATAGTTCATCATGTCAGACAGGACAGAATATACGAAGATGAATATCCATGCCTGACATTCAACACGAAGGGGTACAATTATTCAGACTTCATTGCATTTTAGAGTGGCACTGTCAACACAAGGCACAAATGGCATATGTTAAATAAGTTCCTAAGTTTCTACTTTCTTTAAGGTAATGATATTCAGTTTGAAGATGGATCAAAAGTATTCTCCTTGTTGACACACTTCAATTCCAAACGGCACACCTAAACTTCTTTGTGTGTGCCCTGAGTTACATTTGAAAAATACTAATTCTATCCCTGCATCAACAAACTGAGGTCAAGTACAGGAATAAGGTTGTCAAGAGCAGGAACAAGGATGTCAAGAACAGGAATAAGGTTGTCAAGAACAGGAATAAAGATGTCAAGAACAGGAATAAGGTCAAGTACAGGAATAAAGATGTCAAGAACAGGAATAAGGTTGTCAAGTACAGGAATAAAGATGTCAAAAACAGGAATAAAGATGTCAAGAACAGGAATAAGGTTGTCAAGAACAGGAATAAGGTCAAGTACAGGAATAAGGTTGTCAAGAGCAGGAACAAGGATGTCAAGAACAGGAATAAGGTTGTCAAGAACAGGAATAAAGATGTCAAGAACAGGAATAAGGTCAAGTACAGGAATAAAGATGTCAAGAACAGGAATAAGGTTGTCAAGTACAGGAATAAAGATGTCAAGAACAGGAATAAAGATGTCAAGAACAGGAATAAGGTTGTCAAGAACAGGAATAAGGTCAAGTACAGGAATAAGGTTTTCAAGAGCAGGAACAAGGATGTCAAGAACAGGAATAAGGTTGTCAAGAACAGGAATAAAGATGTCAAGAACAGGAATAAGGTCAAGTACAGGAATAAAGATGTCAAGAACAGGAATAAGGTTGTCAAGTACAGGAATAAAGATGTCAAGTACAGGAATAAAGATGTCAAGAACAGGAATAAAGATGTCAAGAACAGGAATAAGGTTGTCAAGAACAGGAATAAGGTCAAGTACAGGAATAAGGTTGTCAAGAGCAGGAACAAGGATGTCAAGAACAGGAATTAAGTTGTCAAGAACAGGAATAAAGATGTCAAGAACAGGAATAAGGTCAAGTACAGGAATAAGGTTGTCAAGAACAAGAATAAAGATGTCAAGACAGGAATAAAGATGTCAAGAACAGGAATAAGGTTGTTAAGGATGTCAAGAACAGGAATAAGGTTGTCAAGAACAGGAATAAGGTTGTCAAGAACAGGAATAAGGTAAAAAAACAACACCACATGAATAAAGCCTGGACAGTCAGCCACTTGTAAGCAAAAATATTATTTTGGTCTTTTGAACGAAAAGTGAATAGATTGGTCATTGCAGACTGCATGTTACA